GATTTCACAGTTTTAGCTGTGAAGGCGGACCGGGCGTGTCGGATGGCAGCAAGTTTCCATTATCGGTAGTGGACGTCACGTATGCCACTCCAATTGTGAAAAAAAAAGAAAATGAATGAATTGCATCTTTCGCCGATTTTTTAATGCATTTTTGAATTTTAAATGAATAAAAAAAAAAGTTTCAGCCGTCGCACCCTTGAACTAGGTCCTAGGTCCACTAAACGGTGCATATGGGACATGGTCCCCGATGACACTTGCGAATTCGTGTTTTTTTTTTTTTGTTTTTTTTTTTTGGAACGGGTTTGAATTGAATTCCTTCAAATTAGTGGTTGAAGTATTGTCCTTACCTACAAGAGCAGTTAGAATCAATTGAAAAGTGGATTTCCCTGTTCTTCCTGGTCCCACTCTGGACGTTTCGAGAGTGGCAATGTAGCGTGCCTTCTGACAGCTCTCGATCGGGTTTCGAGAGTTTCCTGATGGAGAGTGTTGCAAAGACGACCCACTCTCGAAATTCGAGAGTCTAGAGTAGTACAGCGAGGCCCTCAGTCTAGATTATTGGGGCATTCTTTTTATTTGATTATGGTAATATTTATATTCTGACACTGCCTGACATTAAAACCCCGGGGACCATGTCCCATATGCACCGTTTAGTGGACCTAGTTCAACGGTGCAACGGCTGAAACTGTTTTTTGTTATTCACTTAAAATTCAAAAAATGCATTAAAAAATCCACGAAAGATGCAATTCATTCATTTTCTTTTTTTTTCACAATTGGAGTGGCATACGTGACGTCCACTACCGATAATGGAAACTTGCTGCCATCCGACACGCCCGGTCCGCCTTCACAGCTAAAACTGTGAAATCTGACTCTCCGATCCTGCAAATGGAAGAGAGATGTATAAAACATGAGAGAGAGAAAGAGAGAGAGAGAGAGAGAGAGAGAGAGAGAGAGAGAGAGAGAGAGAGATGTATAAAACATGCGTGAATCTTGACGGATTCACAGGACGCCCCTACATGAATCTGCTCAATAACGTGGGCAGATACAGGAGCCCATGACGACAACGAATTCGAGCGGCCCCCGTCCTTCGAAGAGTCGCTCCGATCCTATGAAGAGTTGCCCTATTCCCGTAGCCGACGCGTATGCGGTCCTTCAAAGGTCGCACCGAAAATAGCAAACTACACACAACTTCACGAATTTCTCAAAACGTGATAGAATAACACAAAAAAAAAAAAAAAACTCAAGAAAGGACTCCAAGGGTCGTTGAACTAGCTGTCTCAAAAAAAGGAGACAGCTAGTTCAACGGAAAGTGGCGAGGGTAAGGGTAGGATTTATTTCTGTTTTTTGTTGTAAGAAAAAGCGAAGATAGTCTCTATTGCCCTTTTTATTAAAAAAGGACCGTTCGTGTCGCGTACCTTCACATAGGGTCGAAAACCCCACGTTGACCTGGCTCAACGGAGCTAGTGGGACAAGGTCCCAGCGTTCTCTCTTTTTTTTTTTTTTCTTTTTTTTTTAGGTTGCGGGACAGGTATTGATACCTTTTTTTTTTTTCATCGGACGTTTTTTTTGTTTCCATTTCAGCAAAAGAACTCAATTTGAGTTTTTTTTTTTTTAAACCGCCTCAAGGTACTAGACAGAAAAAGAAAAGAAAAAAAAAAGAGCGGGCGTTCTATCCAGCGGGGTGAAGACGGTATAGCGGACGGTTCTTTGTTTCCATTTCAGCAAAAGAACTCAATTTGAGGTTTTTTTTTTTAAACCGGCTCAAGGTACTAGACAGAGAAAGAAAAGAAAAAAAAAACTAGAAAGAGAAAGAAAAGAAAAAAAAAAGAGCGGGCGTTCTATCCGGCGGGGTGAAGACGGTATAGCTTAGGGCGAGAGCTGGCACAGTAACCAAAAAGGAAGATTGCACTAAGCGCCTGAATCTGGATGCGTTTTACGTCGAGATGCAGAAACGCAGACCAATAGCAGTGATCTGCACGTCTCAGCTCATAACGTCCAGATTCAGGTTTTTCCAATCCAATCTCTTTTCTAGTGGGGGTCTCATCTCGCCCTGGGACCCTCAGAGCTCCAGCTCCATCTCCATAAGCCTTTCCACATGCTTCCATAAGACCGGTTCGTAGAGGCAAAAACGTTTTCCAAAGTTCAACCGTGCCAGGCGTTCAGACGGCTCCGCTCTCTGACCTGAAATTGGCAGTGTCAGAAATTCGATCAGCAGTTTCTCCACTATGGCAGTGACAGCCACCTCATCTTGGTCACACTGAGTCAGACTTGTTCGTCTTCTTCCCACGCCATCGCCATCGCCGCATTGCTCAGCGTCCGCCACGTGTCCTCCAGGCATTGGATCCGTGCCGCCAGTTCCCTCGAAAACGTCGGACGACAGCCCTTCTTCAAAAACCATCTGCCAATCTTCGTCCTTGAGGTTGTCGTGAAGGAAAGTGAAAGGAAACTTTCCTAGAATCTCAAAGGCTCTCCGTCGCACGTGCGAGTCCTGATCCCTCATCTTCACGAGTGCTGCGTAGAGAAGATTTTCCTTCTCGATATCCCCATAGTCCGTCCTCAAGCAGCAAAGAAGATCCATTGCGTGCCGTCGGATTCTGACACGCGGATCGTACATCACAGTCCGCAGCAAATTGCCCGCCGCCGCTCCCGACCAGTGTGAGTGTGAATCACCCCCCCCCATGCCTGAAGCTCCACTTCCAACCCTCAAAACATAGGGTTCTTCTTGTGCTTCTTGCTCTTCTCGTTGCTGCTGCTGCTGCTGCTGCTCTTCATGTGCTCCTTGTTGGTGTTGGTGTTGATGATGATGCTGTTGACGTCGAGAAGAAATGGTGGAATGAATCCTGGACATGAGCGACAAGCATTCCCTGCAAGTGGAGAGATTAGATCGCTCGTCGCACAGCCGTGCCGCACAGCACTCTAGAACGACGCGCGGGTGTCGCTCATAGGCGATTTCAAACAACTCCATCGCTGCAGCAAGCGTCGGCTTCGCTCTGTCGTCCTTTCCGCCGCCGCGGCCGCCGTTGCTCATTCTTTTCTGTTGACGTCCCCAAGGGTCCATCGCGCTGCCGCAGCCGGTGCGCTGCTTCGCCGCGCTTTCCACAGTCGATATCAGGCAGTCGAGAAACGACGCCGCGGCTCGAGGCCGTGCTAGGGCTGTGACTAGTCTGCCTAACGGGCCTGCTCTTACCGATAGCCGTTTCATACTCAGTCTGTCGTCCGTTGATGACGTCCGTCCTTCTGCTGACGATGAGAACAAGGGCTGCTGGTATGTCCTCTTCGATGGCGTCGCGCCTGGTATCGATTCTGAAGCACAGGGCAAGGGGAGGGGGGGGAAGGAGAGGGAGGAGGAATCTCGATGCCTGGGCCGCATCCCCATGTTACGCCCCATCTGGTTGTCTTTATGCATTTGAACGACCTGGTTGTCTTGGTGCATTTGAACGAATCCGTGCAAGATTTGAGAGACGGTGGACGCAAAACACACCTCCCATTCTGATTGATCGACGGTGGAGATCTCCTCTAGCAGTCTCCACGTGTTTCGAAACAATGACGGCGCGTTCACACCGGCCGCTTGCAGCTCGCCTATGTGCCGCTCACTCTGCAACACCGTCATCGTCAGTCTGAAACAGTCACGGACGAAGGATGCCCTCCACGATTGCGTGCTCCTCCTCCTCATCATCATCGGGTCGATGCCGCACTCGTCTTCTCCCCAACGACCGACTGCGACAGGGCGCCGACCATCGGCTCCTGTCATCCGATCACTGCTACCGGTATCTCGACCGTCGACTGCCATCCTTGCTTCGCGATCGCGACTAGATGGACGATCAATGGTTGTGGGCGCGCCACGACTGACTGTAGCTCCTTGATTGACTTGCGCCATAGGGCCGCAGCGACCAGTCCTTTCCCCATGATCTGCCGTCATCATGGGATCCCGGCCAACTTGAGAATCGAGTCCCGATCGCGTCCTCAGATCGCCACTTGCTTCATCATCGACTCCTGGACCATCTACTGTTGTCGCCTCTGCTCTTCCATCCCGACTATCAGCAGGTCGACAAAGCACCTCCACATCGGCTTCCGGCAGCAAATCTTCCCCGATCCGAGGCTGCACGTCCCCTCCTCCCTTTTGCCCCTCCTCCGCCTCCTCATTAGCTTGCCTGCCAGCGACGAAAGGGACGTACACCTTGTCCAGAAGAACTGACATGTCAGCATCTATCAACGAATCACTCTGCCGCCGGACGTCTTCTGCTGCCAATGATTGGTCTTTGGCACCCCCTGACGCTGATTCCGCCGCCGGCGAGCTCCGACCGTTGACCATCCGATGGATGACGATTCCCACAAGCTGACGTGGCACTCGATCAATCCAGTCGCCTCCTCGAGGGCAGAAGAGGCGCGCTTCTGCTGGTCTTGCAGTTCCAACTCCTGGTCCATGCCCATGTCCAAGTCCCGGTCCCAATTCACTTCCGCTCTCCACTCCCGCTCCTAATCCAACTCCACGGTCAACTTCCTGTCCTGGTCCGGGTCCACCGTCAAGTGCCCATCCTGGTCCACGTACACGGTCCGGATTCGGTCCTGGACCACGTACACGGTCCGGATTCGGTCCTCGGTCACGCCTACGGTTGACTCCGTCTCCTTGTGCATTTCCTCGCGGCTCTGATCCTGGTCCTGGTCCAGGTCCACATGCATGGTTGACTCCGTTCCCTTGTGCATTTCCTCGTTCTAATCCTGCTCCTGGCTCTTCTCCTGGTCCACACCCTCTTTCCATTGGTCCAGGTTGACTTTCTCTTCCCAGTCCGGGATTGAACTCGCGCCCGGGAGGAATGGTCGCCGCCATTTCTCAGATCCTCCAATACCGTCGATTGCCGTCAGGTAGTCTATCGTAGTGCTACATAGATATCTGCTGGAAGTCGCTGCTTCCCGATGTACCCGTACCCGTCTGCTGGGGACGACTCCGCTTCTTTCGCATAGACACCTCCTGGAAGGAGGTGCTTGCCTGAAGTACCGGTGTGGAGGACTTCACTTCTTTCCTAAGTACCCCTCTGCCGGAAGCCACTTGTTCTTTTTTCCTCCCCCCTTCTTTTTTTCTGGGGGGGGAACCCTTTTCTTTAAATTTAGGCTTCGCTGCAGTGCAGTACGAAGGCAACAATCCAGCGGTCTACATGTAGCTCTGTTGGTAAGCCTCGCAAGTGGCATTGAGGAGGTAGCGGGTTCAATCCCTACTTGCCTCATATACCTTCCTGGGTATGCTTGGCGCCCACCACCTAGATATAAACCGCTGGATCCCCCTATCTGCATTCAGCAGAGTCTGCTGAGGTTCGTAGTGGAGGGTACCTGAGGGGAGGCACAGGGATTGGTCCTGTTGGCATGGTCTGTGATGCTACTGGCTGTCCCCTGGGGGGTTAACCACGGCTGAAACATGGGGGTCCCTGTTAACCACTTTTCAAAAGTGGGGGTCCCTGTTAACTGCTTGTGGCAGGTCCAATCAATGTCTGGTAGGCAGCGCCCCTTGGAGCCTTTGGCGGGACAGCAGAGAAATCCAGTGTTGCTGGTGGGGCAGAACACATGGGACGGGTCCCTTCAACTGGCAGGGTCACGAGTGCACCGGGCCCGCCCATTTTTGACTTTGAAAATGGCAACTGCCCGCCCATCGGTTCAAGTAACATCAAAGGCCACAGGCTCTCCGCACTTGCACAGAAACCCACCCCCTTCACGGCATGCATGCACGTACCTTCGCATCCAGTGTACATGAGACTGGCGTCTTCAAGACTTCAACCTTTGGTGTGCTGGTGTGTCCTCCTTTTTTTTTTTTTTTTTTTTTTTTTAAACACGGGCCGAGTGCCCAAGGCTTAGTTTGAGGCCGGGGCCCTCACAGTCTACCCGGAAGCACAACCTCTGGGAGCATTACCCAGTTTCTCTTACGGGGGACAACCAAAATCACCCCGAGGGGGACACAAACCCTGTGACAGAATCCCCGTACCATTTACTGAAGAAGGAGTCTACAGTCCTGTGGTGGGAACCAACCCTAGCCTTCGACTGTCAGATCCTCTGCTGGACCCCCCTACAACCGAGGGGCGGAGCCTGGGCTCCTTGGTAATTCTTAACGCTCCCTCCTGACCCACGACCTCTTAATCTACTGCCTTCCTACTGCGGATAGGGAAACCGAGCGTCCAGGTTTTTACTCAACCTCAAACAGCTATTCGTCAAGAACTAGCTTACCGTTTTGAATCATCGCCAGTTGACCCAGGATAGCCCAGGTTTCCAGAAACCATACCAGTCCTGCGGCTCTCTGTCGTGAGTTGGAGACTTTCCTGCTCCAGTCACTCATGATGCACCGACGAATTTGAAGTTTCACCGAGCTCTTGATAGCTTTGTCTGAGAGGAAACGTCCCTCGAACACATTCCTGTTCCTGAACTCCCAGATTACGAGGAACAGACATGCTCTGAGGGTTTGGGCGACGTAGCCCCAGCCCTTATCCAGTGGTAGGCCATCCGGAATGCCTCCTAATAGAATCCAACGATCATCCCATTGGAACACCGGGCCGCTGATCCGAGTCCGTGTGCCGTCCACCAGTTCCAGATTGTTCTGGATAGGGGGCAAGTCAGCCACAGATGAATGGCGGACTCCGTATGCCTTCCGCACCTTGTGCAGTGCATGTCCACCCTCATGCCCCTCTGGACTCGAAATTTACAAGAGAATATAAAGAGATGTTGCAGTCGGGATAGTAAAGAACCGACACGAGTTCATAGAGTATGTGTTCTACATCTATGGATCAGATGGGAAGCTGCACATCACAGTCTCATCCCCTGAGAATGTTCAAAGACCAAGAGAAGTACTCAATGCTCAGTGGGCTTAAACCAAAACAATACCTAGCTCTGAATCCTTTTTAAAGATCCTTCGGGGTAGTTTATTTCAGCCCATAGCAAGCATCTTTAGATTCAGCGGCATCAGCAACTGCAAACATCAATCAACTCTCTTGCATCAGACATCACTATTGGTATCAGTTCAGGCAGATAACCGTTGACAAAACTTGAACGACCTCATGATATCCTTTCATGAGCTTAGCCCGGTTCTTCTTGGCAGTTTCAGAGTGAGCTATTTCATACCTTCAGAACAAAAATCAACAATCACACTCAATCATCACACGGTCTCTATCAATCTGTTCTCAGATTCAACATCAGTCAGTCAGTGCTTTCATCAGAGATTTTCGGTCAGTGGGATACTAATCAGCATTTCCTTGATCACTCTCGATACGAGTTCTTCATCATTCAGATCAGTTTTAGTACTCAATTCAGCACATGAGTACTATTACTTCATTTTCTGTTGGTCAGTCAGTCTTGACCGATCCCAACAAGATCGCCTCTAAAGATGTTTTCCATTACCAGTATGATAATGCAGTTGGCTTCAGACAATAAAATTTGTCAATCTTCGTGGTCCTCACTGAGTTTGCAGAGAGAACTATCAGGGACTTGAGGATCTAGTGAAGAAAGGGGTAAAAAACTAATGAGCATTTTGATAAAGTTTGGGTCACAACAGCTCGGTATGTTGAGGGGAGAGCACGAGTGCTTCAGAAGGATGCAAAGTTTATCCATAGCTTTGGTCCTGACTCCTAAGCTATACACTAACTACCCTAGGCCTCTGGTCCCTTCCTACCTCATTGATGGTTCTTATTGGGGTGATCTGGTTGACCTGGCCAAGAGGTATGTTTCACGGCAGAGATTGACTATGAAGCAGTGACATAGCCCTCTGGGTTTATCCATCTCCGACGAGGGATCCTCTCTAGGCCTTATTTTCCTACTTTGTGGGAAAAGTTTTGTGCTATGTTTGATTTCCAAATCTTTGGTCTTGGGTGGACCCATTCAAAACTCATGGGCTTCAAGTGACTCTATATTACTAGGCGACAATCTCATGAAGTACATAAACGTGGCTCAAAGCGCTCAGAGCGTACAATCAGAAGAGAGATTGGGGATGATACCTGAGAGAGATGAGCGAAGACTCTTTACGGGTGCTGGTCATGTCTCTTCTTATTTGTATTTCTTGGGATTATTACGAGTTCTCACCTTCCCTCATTCATCTTGTCTTTGTCTTGAGTCAGTCAGTTCTGATTCGCTTTCATTGACATTGCATGATGTTATGATCTCAGTTGATCATGTCACAGTTCTTAACCTCTTAAAATTGGCAATTATAATATTTCATATCTTTCATTTCAATTTATTATTTGCATAATTGGAACTGCTGTTCCGAATCATAATAAAAAATTCTTAAGACCGGGGACCGGCGTAGACCGTAATTGAAGGGTCTCTCTCGAAGCCGGACGCACACAACAGGAAGGATTTGCATTAATTTATTAAATTATTTATTTATTATAAAAACCATCAAAATCTTGAGTGACAACCTGTTGTCTTTTCGGGCACCAGAAGCAGTTTGACTGGAAAAAGTGTGACGAGTTGACAACGGCTGCTGCAGTTTGGACGACGGTCATGGCAGCGACGTTCCTCCGGTTAATCCACTGCATGATGGCGAACATGATGAGGAACATGGAATCGTCATCCCAATCATCAGCCATGGTTGCTGCCATCAGGGGTTCCATGACGCAGCGCAATCCTTCGATGATATTCCGGTTCGTGTGGCTATGGTGACTTCCACTGCCCTGAACGAATGCGTGGGACTGTCCGTCGAAACTGTCGTCACTGCATCCCACGGTTCTGTCCTTCCCTCCATGGGGTGACGTTCTGCTTTGGTGTGAAGGACTGCTGGGGACTCCCTTGAGCTACGCACAGTCACTGTCGTCTCCGCTCCCACCACACCACCCCGCAAACGGCTACCTCTGGTCCCAGTCGCACCGAGCCTCACATCTGCCATACGTTGTCACCCAGGACCGCTGGTCGGCCACTCCACAGATTGCTGGTGCACCTCCCGCGGACAAAACGACCAAACTAGTCTGGTTTCTGGAAGAAACTGCCAATTTGCCAGAAAAGTGCGTGTGTGGTGGGGTCCATTTTTTTCCTGGAAAAAAACTTCCACGGCCTCCACCTCGGATTTCCAGGGTAGTCCGCCTTTTCCGGACTTTAGACGGTGGGGTCCACCTCTCATCATATCCCGTCAAACCAAACCTGCTCAGAGTTGGATAAAAAACGAATGAACATCAGGACAAATCAGATTACACCCCATCACTAGAAAACCGACCCGCGATGAGTCTGATGACGTCCCACTTGAAGTCTCATCCACCGAGGTTATACTGCCATCTGACCGCTACACCCTGCTCCAGCAAGACTTATCACTAAAGAGCCACCATCTTTTCAGCAGCTTGCCCTCCAACCATCCTGATGCGATTTTATTAGATCCAGCTGCGATCATGAAATCACCAGGCCTCAAGCACCCATCAGCTACAGGCTACTGGGGGGTGCCAACCCCCCCAAGCACCAGCCAGCATCGTTCTCACCTCAGCCATACACCGGCCGCTGTGATGTTAAACCACCAGTACTTCCAAAAGTCACGGCCGCATGGCCGCCGCGATGTGCTGGGATGAACAGGCCTGGGGTGCTGGCATAAATTCATTCAAGTGGAAACGCCGTAGCAGCCGCAGCAATGGCTGGCTGCATGTGCACCACGACTTCCTGAAGTGCCTGTGGTTTAAACCACCAGTATTTGGCTTAGCTATAGATGCCGAGCCAAGAAACGTCCTGTGCGCCAAGTTTCGCCGAACCACCAGCACTATATTTTTTGTTTTGTTTTGGCTGGCGCCTCCAGCCTTTGTGGTTGGCCCAGCTATCGATGCGGACCCAAGAAATGTCCTGTGCACCAAGTTTCGCCAGACCGCCAGCGCGACGTTTTTTTTTTGTTGTTTTGGCAGGGGCCTCCAGCCTTTGTGGTCCGGTACCCCGAAGCGCGCACGCATCGGCGCATTAACGGCTAAGGCCCGTGCCCGATAGCCGGGCCAAGTACTGGTGGTTTAAAAAAGGAAAAAAAAGGGTAAGGCTTGGACACCACTGAAAAAAGGATGGAAAAAGAGGCCGGCCAAAAAAAACGAGCGAAGGATTTTGGAAAGCTGGAAAGCAGTTTTGCAGGGACACCACCACTGAGGACCAAGTGTGCTTGGAAAACCCTTTGGAAATCAGTTGAGCCAATCATTGCCCGTCTCCGTTGGCACTCATTTGTTTTGTTCTTTTTCTCTTTGTTTTTTCTTTTTTTCTGTGGCACTCTGCGTCGCTATTGGCTGCTGCCTCCCGTGAGACTTTTCCAGGAACGACAATGCCCTCCCCCCTACCCTCTAGAGTCGGCACAAAATTGCAGCGAGGAATCCTCCCGTGAGACTTTTCCAGGCCACGGACTATGTGAAAAAACAAAACGATGTTTTTCCAAGCCGCAATCTTCGGTCTGTGGGGTTCCAGAAAACAGTTTGCTAAACTTTGCAGAAGAAATTTCACCTTTTCCTGGACATCTGCTGCAGGTTGTGGGGTCCTGGAAACAGTTTCGTGGTAAAGTTTTTCATTTCCACAGTCCTGTGGGGTCCAAGCCTAAGTGTAACTTGCCCACCCAGCAGTCGATCAGCCCCTGAGCAGGAAGCAATCAATGCTGCTCGGCGTTAAACCGCCAGTAGTTCCTAAAGACGTGGCTGTTAACACGCTGGCCGCAGGGTAAACGAATGGGAGAGGCCGATAGCGTCCAAATTCATCACAGTGGAACCGCTTCCATTCAAATTTCTCCCCCCCGCCGATATATGGGAAAGGTACTGGCAGTTTAAGTATGTGAATCTGCCAAGCATGTTGTATTCTGTAGCTGCTGCTCCTCAGCAGTAGGTGGAGCCTCAGGGCCTACATGAAATCGAACGTGCACAAGGCCTGACTGTCACAGAGAAGACATCTTTGTAGGTATGCCGCCCACACAGAAGCACAACCACCACCCCTGTTCTTTTTTGGAAAAACTTCGACACAGGAGGAACACTTAGCAGGGTGACAAGAGCAGCCCTGATAACCCTCCTGCCTTTCCCTGCTCACGTGATTGTCCTGGGACGTCAGGCTGTCCAATACCCCAGCTTTCAAAAGAGTAGAAAAGGGCCTAGTTGCACTACTCGCCATCCGCCAACATTTTGAATGCATATGGAGACTATTTTTGTCCAGATGCATTCAAATTTCAAAATCAAACAAAAGAAAGAGTGACTGTATAAAATGACTGACCATTGTTTTCTACTTCTGCGTTCTGTTTGTCCAACTGTTTTCTCCACTTTGTCCTTTGTCAACTGCGTGAACATGAATTGAAAGGCTTGATGCGTAGGGCGAAGGAGGATTACACGAAAGTAATGCTTCGGAAGGAAAAGGTGAGTTAAACCACCAGTACTTGGCCCAGCTATCTGCCGCAGGAAAAAATAGAGTAGAAACGTTTCTGGTCGAACGAATTTGGGCTCTCCTGTAGTGACGCGTACATTTCCTAAAATTGTGGTTTGTTAATGAGGAAGACTATAGGAAGTACTGGTGGTTTAAACTTGCTAGTGCAAATGGCCAGCCAGGGGAGGGAGGGTGGGTCTGTGGGAGTAACAGAGAGGACAAACATTTTCAAAGTTGGTTTTCTATATGAGGCTGGGCCGATCACCAACAGAGACTGCGCCTTGGAATCTATGTTGATATGAGTGACGAGTGTGACTGCGACACTGGCCCCAATCGCCAACGAGTGCTGCTCCCCACCAATAGAAAGGACTCAAAGGAGCCACTGGGGGGAAAATTTGGGGAAGCACCTTCAACTTCTGCTTTTTTCTGTGTGCTGGCACAAAGGGCCTAGCTGCACGGCACACGATAGGGGATCAGTAGGGGTGAGCCTAACCCCAGGCGAGGGATGGCAGGGGCAAGGGACGAGGGTAGAACCCAGATACCTACCAAGACCGGCCAGGAGGGGCAAGCCAACAGTTACTATCTCAGCTGGTGAACACCAAGCCCGCTGCAGGAGGCCGTGGGTCATGGGGGATTGAACCCACAACCTCCTGAATACCACTTGCATGCTCAACCAACTGAGCAAACTCCCCCTTCCTATTCATTCTGCGCACGCCATGGTAACCGCGGACCCGGACACCGGACACTTCCGGACTGTCTTCCGGACCAGTGTCTGGACCGGTCCGGACTGTCCGGTGATCCGGACATCA